ATTGCTGATACATTAAAAGCTAAAAAGAGGGAAATTTAAAATTTTAAACTTAAAAAACAAAAACTACCTCTTACCACAGGTGCTGCTAAGAATAACATAACTGTACACGTTGTAGCCGACATGCCAGACATGTCGGATACCATGCCGGCAACAATAGCTCCAAATATACCACCAACATCAAATAATATAGATAAATCTGCTGATAAAGTTGGTCCCAATGTACTGGACGATTGTATATATAAAGGCAACCAATAGAGGAATGTATAACTGACCAATTTGGAAAAGAATAAACATAACGAGAATTCCACAACACCGGGTATATATAAAGCATCTATTAAGCTTATGGGTCGTTGGACGTGATGGTCATGAGTGTGAGAACGTGGTAAAATTGGCGAACGTTCAGTGGGACGATAATTAACCTCCTAAAAAGCAATAAATTTAATATTATAAAATTTCATTCATAACTTCAAAATTACAAAATTTTCCAAACTTACCGCTTCATAAGTATTCGCAGCACCCACTATAACACTATTATCTTCCATGTCTGAATCATTATCTGTTGATCTTTCTGCAACAGCGCCATGCTGTTGATGACAACCCACCATTTCGGGTCTATCAACCATAAACAAAAACAGTAGAAAACCACAGCTAGCAATTATTATACCCGGCACAATAAACGACAATGCCCAATCGGTTTCCACATACTGAGCGGCTATTAGCGTACCCAAAATATTACCTATCGATGTGTGACTATTCCAAATACCGAAAATTAAACCACGTTTCGATTTGCCAAACCAACGACCCACTAAAGTAACTACACCTGGCCAGCCAGTAGTTTGAGCAATACCCGCACATGCTTGTACTATTACAAAATAAGCCATCGTATGTATACTCCAAGTTTTGGCTATACCAAATAGATATGAAAATACAACCCGAAAAAATCATACCAAAAGCTAGGAAATATCGAATGGAAACACGTTCAGCCACAAAGCCAGAAACAAACATAGCAGCGGCATAGGCAAAAAGAAAGGCAGAATCTAATATGGCAAATTTGGCAGGAGCACTGGAATCATCTGAAATGTATAAAAAATAATTTAATTAATATTTTGGCAATGATAAGGTTTTTAATCATTTTACCAAATGGCGCATAGCCACAGTCATTTGAGCTGGCATTGTGCGTTATATCTGAGGAACAATTAGTATGAAGAACTGATTTAACCACAGATATGGGTTTGCGCGACATGTGGTAGCAGGTGTAGGCCAAATAAGTAAGACCAAAAATGGAGGCTTTGAAACTGTAATAAAGAATAAAAACAATGATTGAATAGATTCAAAGAGATAGGAAATAGATAGATAGATAGATAGATAGTATATAGAAGATATATAGATAGATAGTAGATAATAGATAGATAGATCGATAGATAGCTAGATAGATAGATAGATAGATAGATAGATAGATAGATAGATAGATAGATAATAGATAGATAGATAGATAGATAGATGATAATCGCTCTCGCTCGCTCGCTCGCTCGCTCGCTCCTCGCTCGCTCGCTCGCTCGCTCGCTCGCTCGCTCGCTCGCTCGCTCGCTCGCTCGCTCGCTCGCTCGCTCGCTCTCGCTCGCTCGCTCGCTCGCTCGCTCGCTCGCTCGCTCGCTCTCGCTCGCTCGCTCGCTCGCTCGCTCGCTCGCTCGCTCGCTCGCTCGCTCGCTCGCTCGCTCGCTCGCTCGCTCTCGCTCTCGCTCGCCCTCGCTCGCTCGCTCGCTCGCTCGCTCGCTCGCTCGCTCGCTCGCTCGCTCGCTCGCTCGCTCGCTCGCTCGCTCGCTCGCTCGCTCGCTCGCTCGCTCGCTCTCGCTCTCTCGCTCGCTCGCTCGCTCGCTCGCTCGCTCGCTGCTCGCCGCTCGCTCGCTCGCTCGCTCGCTCGCTCCTCTCGCTCGCTCGCTGCTCGCTCGCTCGCTCCTCGCTCGCTCGCTCGCTCGCCCGCTCGCTCGCTCGCCAGCCCGCTCGCCCTCGACCTCTCTACGCTCGCTCGCTCCTCGCTCGCTCGCTCGCTCCGCCTCGCTAGCTCTCTCGCTCGCTCGCTCGCTCGCTCGCTCGCTCGCTCCGCTCGCTCGCTCGCTCGCTCGCTCGCTCGCTCCTCGCTCGCTCGCTCGCTCGCTCGCTCGCTCGCTCGCTCGCTCGCTCGCTCGCTCGCTAGCTCGCTCGCTCGCTCGCTCGCTCGCTCCTCGCTCCTCGCTCGCTCGCTCGCTCGCTCGCTCGCATCGCTCCTCGCTCGCTCGCTCGCTCGCTCGCTCGCTCGCCTCGCTCGCTCGCTCGACTCGCTCGCTCGCTCGCTCGCCTCGCGCGCTCGCCCTCGCTCGCTCGCTCGCCTCGCTCGCTCGCCGCGTCGCCTCGCTCGCTCGCTCGCTCGCTCCTCGCTCGCTCGCTCGCTCGCTCGCTCGCTAGCTCGCTCGCTCGCTCGCTCGCTCGCTCGCTCGCTCGCTCGCTCGCTCGCTCGCTCCTCGCTCGCTCGCTCGCTCGCTCGCTCGCTCGCTCGCTCGCTCGCTCGCTCGCTCGCTCGCTCGCTCGCTCGCTCGCTCGCTCGCTCGCTCGCTCGCTCGCTCGCTCGCTCGCTCGCTCGCTCGCTCCTCCCGCTCGCTCGCTCGCTCGCTCGCTCGCTCGCTGCTCGCTCGCTCGCTCGCGCTCGCTCTCTCTCGCTCGCTCGCTCGCTCGCTCGCTCGCTCGCTCTCGCTCGCTCGCTCGCTCGCTCGCTCGCTCGCTCGCTCGCTCGCTCGCTCGCTCGCTCGCTCGCTCGCTCGCTCGCTCGCTCGCTCGCTCGCTCGCCGCTCGCTGCTCTCTCGCTCGCTCGCCCTTCCGTCCCCTTTCTCGCTCCCTCGCTTCCCCCTTCCCTCGTTTCCTTTTTTCCCTCTCCCTTGTGGCCCCCGCTTCTGGCCAATCTCTGTACCGCCCTACCCCCTGGGTGTCATTACTGTGACTCTTCTGCGTACCCGATGCGGGCTCCTATGCTTTAAAACAAAACCCTTAGACAACGACAACAAAAATGCCAGCTTCAAACAAAATACCGGCCCTATACAATGTAGTCGTTGTCTTTGTCTTCTGCGAAAGGTCGTCTTAGAACTATTGCAACAGTTGTTTAAGTGTTCAATGATCTGAAAATAATAAGATAATAATTGTATCAATACAATAGTTTTATACTAGAAAAAACGAATGCATTAATTCATATTGAGATTTAAATACTTTAATATTTAGGGGAAATAAATATTTGATGATGTTTTATTTTATATCTTCTATTTTGTTTAGACGATATTCTTATTTATTTATATATATAAAAGTGATAATATTGTTATCTATAGAATAGAGTTAATTAATGAAAAAGTAAAAAATATGATTACAATTGATTTTTATATAAATTCGAGGTAAACAAAGGAAAATTGTATATGTAGAATATTACATAATGATGTGTCAAGTTTTTGTAGAAATTAGAGTAAAACTTTAAAATTTTATACATACGAGGTGAGATTTTTAAGCCAAAACATTCAACAATAGATAGTAAATCAGAATATTTGAAATTGGTTGCATCGTTTTCAAGAAACCAACTATTTTTATAGTAACTTTATGAACTTTAAATTTGTATATTACCATATAGAGATGATTTGAACCTCAACTTAAGATTCTGGATCTTTTCTAATAATTTAAAGAGAAATTATTAAATCATAATATACAAGGAACGCTTATAGAGTTTGTTCTAAATGAACTTGAAGAAGAGCAAAAGGAATCAATTTCGACGCTTAAACAACAAGCTGGGAGTAATTTGCAAATGAAATCGATGGCCCCTCAATGTCCTCGCTTAATATTCAGAAAATGTTTTTCATTAAGAATGACGCATTTTATCTTTTTCAATTAAAAGACTTGTATGTTAGTTTTACAACATGCGTCTTCCATAAGAGGATGGCTTTAATTATGGAATACAATATCGTTCAAATGTCCATCGGTAGAGGTTACAGAATTGCCTACACAGGTGCCTAATTTCCCTGACACATATCGACAGAAATATTACGTATTCCGCGTCTAAGACAAACTTTACTCCTATTCGAGAAATATAAAAAAACTATATAAAATGCTCTTAATGAAGAACCCCGTACTATATACATAATAACAATGTAATAAACAGTTTTTTTAAGTTATTATCAATTTGTTTAAGCAAAATTATTACACCCGCATTTTTACTGACAACTGAAGATTCATACAAACACATTAGCACAATATTATCTCCGGACATCAACAGACAGAATCATTAGCTAACTATAACACAGATTTAATTTGCATTGAAAGCATCTTCCAAATATATTGTTTTTGTTTGATAAAAAATAAACTTGATAAACAAAAACAAAAACAACAATTATTGTTTTATCTTAAAAACACAGTCATATAATAATTTCCTTTAGTTTTTGCGTATTTTATTTATGATTCATTTAACATCTCCAATTTCACATACAATATTAAATTTTACTTTGTTTTTTTTTACAAAATTATATACACAATGCCAATTTTTCTTGCATTTTTATACAAATTTACTTTTCTAAAAAAACTATTGCAGTATATTCTTTTGTTTTAATAGTTCTATTCTTATGTTGCTTTGTTGGCATCATTCCTTAGATAAGCGTATTTTTATCACAATTTTAAATATTTATTTTCAATAGTTCAACATTTAATTGATTCTTTGTTTTATTACTTACATTTTTTGTTTATTTTTATGTGTGTCAATATTAAAATAAAATTTGTAAATAAAGAAATATTTTGATAGAATGTTGATTTGTCGTTGGGTATTTTCCCGTCTTTCTTTTTGTCTGCAAAATCTGCAACTGTTTATACGAAGTGGGCGATGACAACAAAACCTATGCAAATGTCAACAAGTTGTCAGTTGTTGGAAATAAAATCAGAGTTGTTTTTTCAGTTATTTATTAACACTATGGCAACCAACAATAAAAAAAATTTCAAGTCTAGGATTTTAGAGATCGAATTCAAATATACAATCGATTTTTTATTAAAAACTCGAAAAGTTCGAAATGTCAGAATTTGAAAAAATTTTAAAAAGTCTAATAGCTGACTTTAAAACATTAAAAAACTCGTCTTTTGACGAGTAGATAGATAGATATATATATAGATAGATAGATAGATATATAGATAGATAATATATAGATAGATAGATAGATAGATATCGATATCCAATCGACTTTAAATTAATAGAAAAATTGTTGTCGGAAGAAGTCGAAGATTTTGCAAGAAAGTCCAAATAAGTCGAATAAATTCGCAAAGTCGAAAATCAAAGAGTCGAAAAGTTGGAAAAGTTCGAGAAGTTAACATTTAATAAAACACAAAATTTGAAAAAGTCGACTTTCATAAAACACAAAATTTAAAAAGTCGACTTTTCAAGAATCGCAAAAAGTCTACAAAAATACAAAAGTCGACTTTTGCTACAGGGTACAGGCTAGGGTTCTATAAATCGACTTTCGAATAATCGAACAATCGACTTTTTGTCGAAAAGTCGAAGTCGACTATTTTGTTCCAAGTCGATAACTCGACTATCGTCTGTGAAAAAAGTCGAAAAGTTGACTTTGTGAATAAAAGTCGAAAAGTCTGAAAGTCGAAAAAAGTCGATAAGTCGAAAGAAGTCGAATAAAGTCGAAAAAAGTCGAAGTCGAAAAAAGTCGAGAAGTCGCAAAAAGTCGAAAAGTCGAAAAAAGTCGGAAAAAGTCGAAAAAATCGAAAATTGTAGAAATAAGTCAAAAATGGTCAAAAATTTTAAAAAAGTGGAAAAAAAAGTCAAAAACTCTAAAATAGTCGGAAAAAACTCGAAAAAAGTCAAAAAATAGTCGGAAAAAAGTAGAAAGAAGTCGAAAATAGTCAAAAAGTCGAAAAAATCGAAAAGTCGAAAAAAGTCGGAAAAAGTCGAAAAAAGTCGAAAAGTCGAAAAAAGTGGTAAAAAGACGAAAAGTCGACTATTTATAAAATACTTATAGTCGAAAAGTCTAAAAGTCGACTTTTATTTAAATGAAAAAAGTCGAAAAATCGACTTTTCATAAAATGCAAAAAGTCGAAAAGTCGACTTGTAACTACATGAAAAAAGTCGAAAAGTCGACTTTTCGTTTCAACTATAGAACCCTAGTACAGGCTAGTCGTTGACTTCTTTTTAGAGTTCCTTCTATAAATAAACTTTCGAATAATAATTTTTTTGTCGAAGTAGTCTATTTCATTCAATAAGGGTCTGTAAGTCGACTATCTTGTAAAAGAGTTGTAAAATTGACCTTTTGTAAATTGAAAATGGTCGATAACTTGACTTTCAGTAATTGCAAAATGTCGGAAAGTCGACTTTTTGTTTCAATTATAGAATTCTACGACTTTTCGACTTTCTTAAGACTTCCACTTTATTCGTCAAAAAGTATCTTTATCGATTTATAAAACATTTCATTTATTTAACGTCAAATGTAAATTCTAAAAAGTACCACTTCACCGCGTGCCATAAATTAGTTCACTCGGGTGTTTATACAATTACGTTCGAACACATGTTTGAATGTGTGTATTGTATGTAGTCAATTGCACGAGTACATGTTTGTGTGTTTGTACATACGTTTTGTATTCATTGAAAGAAATCTTGTTGCTTTGGCCAACCGACGAACGACGTCAACACTGTCGTCGTTCGTGTCTGCTGTAGCCGAACGAACAAAAACGTTCAAAGCTGCTGGCTTTTTTCTTCCAACCAACAACGATGTTTCCACAATTTAGTTGCTTTGCGTACACGTCGTCGTTAACGTTGTTCAGACTAAAACCGCGCGGTAGTGTGAAAATTTCGTGTAAATAAAGAAGCTTTTGTGTTTTGTTGTTGCTGGCTTTTCTACAGTATTGTGTGTGCTTTTTTTTTTCTTTCTTATTCTTTTTGTTTCTTCTGATATTAAAACCCAATATTGGGTAAAAGAAAAATTCCTGTTTTTCTTTGGTGTGTGCGTGTGTTTTTTTTTTGCCCCATACATGTTTGACCTTTTTTGGGCTAAAAAAAAACACACACACAATCGGAATTTTAAGAAGTAATTAGGAAAAATTTATAAAATAATCACATTTCTTTATAGTAAATTGGTATAAAAACTATAATAAAAACACTGCAGGAAAATTATTAAAAGAAAACAACTACAACAGTGACGTCGCTGTTAATTTGTCATTTTCTTTGAAAGAAGAGCAAGAGACGACAAGTGCAAAAAAAGGCGCTAAAGTTAGCAGAGAAGTTAACGTGTGTTTGAGAGTGTGTCGCAGTAGTAGATATTACTGCTGTTTTCATTGGAACTACTACAACAACAACATAAAAACATCATCATAATCACAACAATGGTGGAAAAATTGGATGCAAATTCTGAACAACAATTTGATTTGAATTTAATTGAGGCCGTTAAAGTAAATCCCGTCATTTATGATCGTTCCCATTATAATTACAAACATTTTGTGCGTAAAGCTCAAGTTTGGAAGCAAATTTCTGAACAACTCGGTATGCCTGGTAAGTGTTTTCTTTCGGTATCTAACTGCCCATTTGTTTCTAATTGAAATCACAACCATTTAGTTCATGATGTAATAAGTACTTAGTGAATCGCTCAAGTGGGGCGCTATAGCATTTTGGATTTCATTAAAAAAAGTCTAATTTTTTTAATAATATTCATAGAAAAATTATTCGTTCTTATCTATTCAGTAAAAATAAGCAAAATGTCTAGTCAACACAATACGAAAAATTAAAAAAAAACACATCCAACTCATACAGTCAAACCATATGTATGGAATAAATTCTCTGTGCCTTAGCTAATGTTATTTTCCCTGTACTTTTACGAATTGCTTTCCCTTTCTCTGGTGTTTCCCCCCCTCGAGGGTAAATTTGTTCTTAGTGCAGAGCTATTATAGAATTAATTGTTTATTAAGGATTTGACTACTTTTGTAGCCACTCTCTAGGAAATTATTTCATATTCCTTAAATTTTTTATATAAAATTTACACCACACCCACTACTGCATTTCAGTTTCGATTTGGACCTGATATACATACATATGAATTGAAAGGAGGATATATGTTTCATCAGATCCGAAGAAATTCACCTACATACACGTACACTCCTTTACCAATAGCTCTAGTGGGAATCGAACTCACGAATCGTACTGACAGACTAGAAACAATACCACCAATTAATCTACGAAGACACTCCTATGATGTCAATACTGTCAATTTTCTTACAAACATTTCATTATGAATTTTATAAATTAAAAAAAAAAATCAAAACAAAATTAATACATTACCTTAAAATCTGCTGCTATATTTAAACAAAACTCAACATGCTTTACCGTATACGAGTAGTTTTTGTAGTTTTTTGTGTTGTTGCTTTATCGTAAAGCTAATTTTTCTGGTTCGACTTCGTCGGTTGTGTATAGAGATGGTGGTGGCGACGTCAGAGTTGCCAGTCGCTACAACATTTAATTACAATAGTTCGCATAAATGTGTTTTTTTATCGCTGTTGACTTTTATTTTTGTAGTTCTGCTGTGCTCTTTGTTGTTTTTGTTTTCTTTGCTTGTGTTTTTTCATTATTATTGGAAAGACAACATCAGCGTCGTTCGTCTCTTTTACACTGCTTTTAATTCGCTGTCTACGTCAATCGTAGACGTTGTTATCTTATTCATTCCATTTCTTGTTTTTGTATTTTCTTTATCGGTGGGACATGTTGGGTGTTTTGTTTGTTTTGTTTTTATTTTGTTGTTCGTTAAATTAGATTTTGTTGCTTATACGGTTAAAGACGAAATATTGTCAGATAAAGAGTGGGATATCGTTCCCCAGATTAGGGGTTTCAAGTATAGAAAATAGGTGGTAATTTGTTGTGATTTGAAAATTTTTGGAGGAGATTAAAAAATTATCTATCTATCTATCTATCTATCTATCTATCTATCTATCTATCTATCTATCTATCTATCTATCTATCTATCTATCTATCTATCTATCTATCTATCTATCTATCTATCTATCTATCTATCTATCTATCTATCTATTATCTATCTATCTATCTATCTATCTATCTATCTATCTATCTATCTATCTATCTATCTATCTATCTATCTATCTATCTATCTATCTATCTATCTATCTATCTATCTATCTATCTATCTATCTATCTATCTATCTATCTATCTATCTATCTATCTATCTATATCTATCTATCTATCTATCTATCTATCTATCTATCTATCTATCTATCTATCTATCTATCTATCTATCTATCTATCTATCTATCTATCTATCTATCTATCTATCTACTATCTATCTATCTATCTATCTATCTATCTATCTATCTATCTATCTATCTATCTATCTATCTATCTATCTATCTATCTATCTATCTATCTATCTATCTATCTATCTATCTATCTATCTATCTATCTATCTATCTATCTATCTATCTATCTATCTATCTATCTATCTATCTATCTATCTATCTATCTATCTATCTATCTATCTATCTATCTATCTATCTATCTATCTATCTATCTATCTATCTATCTATCTATCTATCTATCTATCTATCTATCTATCTATCTATCTATCTATCTATCTATCTATCTATCTATCTATCTATCTATCTATCTATCTATCTATCTATCTATCTATCTATCTATCTATCTATCTATCTATCTATCTATCTATCTATCTATCTATCTATCTATCTATCTATCTATCTATCTATCTATCTATCTATCTATCTTATCTATCTATCTATCTATCTATCTATCTATCTATCTATCTATCTATCTATCTATCTATCTATCTATCTATCTATCTATCTATCTATCTATCTATCTATCTATCTATCTATCTATCTATCTATCTATCTATCTATCTATCTATCTATCTATCTATCTATCTATCTATCTATCTATCTATCTATCTATCTATCTATCTATCTATCTATCTATCTATCTATCTATCTATCTATCTATCTATCTATCTATCTATCTATCTATCTATCTATCTATCTATCTTATCTATCATTGAGCTTGTCAATTTTTTCTTATGAATTTATTTGTTCATTCCAGAACAAAAATGCACCAAACGCTGGAAAAGTTTGCGTGATAAATTTGCCCGAGAAATGAAATTAAGCACAGAATCACGTTGGCGTTATTTTAAACAAATGAGTTTTCTCGTTGAGTCTATAAGGTAACTGATACTCTTTTTAATTACCACAATCAAATGCTCTATAAACATTGAAAATCTTTTCAATTCCCAAATAACAGACAATATCGTGAATCGTTACTGGGTAAATGTGGACCTTTACCCGCAACTCAAACGACCACTAACACCCAAGTTACACAAGTGGATGCTAATCAGCAACAACAACAGCAGCAACAAACCCAACAGCATGCTGTTGTCGATATATTTCCTTTTAATGGAGCAGCGGCAACATCAACACAAACTATACATCATCCACATGGTAAGTCCAAGCTACAACAAAACAGATTACAAATCATCCACTTCAAAAAAACTCTCAATTTTATATTGATTGATTCATGATTGATATATAGTTGATATTATAGTTACAGGCGATACCCAATTAACAACTACAACAGTGGCAGCATCAAAGGATACAAAAACCTTTTACTATGAACCACCTTTGAAACGTGAACGTATTGATGATGATCAACAACAACAACAGCAACAGCAGCAACAACAACAACAGCAGCAGCAACAATTGCAACAACAGCATAACGATAATATGTTGAATACCATAAAAATATTTCAAAATTCTATATCACAAAGTGTCAATCCAGAGGATCAGTCATTTGGTGTCGTAGTCACCGATATGCTGAATACACTAGGCGTACGACAAAAGGCCGAAGCTAAAGTTCATATAATTAAATATTTAACTGACATGCAGTTGCTGGCTCAACATAATAAATATTAAAATTAAAACGTTACTAATAAATAAATAAATTAAGGAAATAATATGTATCTATAATAAAATAATTTTGCAGTTTGCAAATAATAGTTTTAAGCTATTTAGCAAACCTTATATACATACATTATTTAATATGACTTTACGAGGAAATTTAATATGTTTTTGGCAAAATATTAATAAGATTTGTTTTTTACCTATACAGGGTGCAATTTTGTTTTACATAAAATGAGAGAAACAAATAAATATAATACATAAATTAATAAATAATTGTTATTATATGCGAGTATGTATTTTATTCATATTTATTTTGATCTGCATGTAATAGGTATGTATTTAATATGTATTTTGGAAAATATACTTAAAAATTCTTTATTGTGGAATAACATTTATGTTCTTTTTGTCATGCTAACAATTAACATAACAAACATTTATCAAATCTAGATCGGTTCTAGTTTAGTTCAGTTCTGATTCTAGTTTATGTTGTAGTTAAGTTTTAGTTCTGTTCTAGTTTAGTTCTAGTTCAGTTCTAGTTCTGTTCTAGTTCAGTTCTAGTTCATCTCTAGTTCAGTTCTAGTTCAGTTCTAGTTCAGTTCTAGTTAAGTTCTAGTTCAGTTCCAGTTCTGTCCTAGTTCAGTTCTAGTTAAGCTCTAGTTCAGTTCTAGTTCAATTCTAGTTCAGTTCTAGTTTAGTTCTAGTTCAGTTCTAGTACGGTTCTAGTTCAGATCTAGTTCAGTTCTAGTTCTAGAACTGAGTCAGTTCTAATTCAGTTCTAGTTCAGTTCTTGTTATGTTCTAGTTCAGTTCTAGTTAAGTTCTAGTTCAGTCCTAGTTAAGTTCTAGTTAAGTTCTACTTCAAGTTCAGTTCTAGTTCAGTTCTAGTTCAGTTCTAGTTCAATTCTAGTTCAGTTCTAGTTCAGTTCTAGTTCAGTTCTAGTTCAGTTCTAGTTCAGTTCTAGTTCAGTTCTAGTTCAGTTCTAGTTCAGTTCTAGTTCAGTTCTAGTTCAGTTCTAGTTCAGTTCTAGTTCAGTTCTAGTTCAGTTCTAGTTCAGTTCTAGTTCAGTTCTTGTTAAGTTCTAGTTCAGTTCTAGTTCAGTTCTAGTTCAGTTCTAGTTAAGTTCTAGTTCAGTTCTAGTTCAGTTCTAGTTCAGTTCTAGTTCAGTTCAAGTTCAGTTCAAGTTCAGTTCAAGTTCAGTTCAAGTTCAGTTCTAGTTCCGTTCTAGTTCAGTTCTAGTTCAGTTCTAGTTCAGTTCTAGTTCAGTTCTAGTTCAGTTCTAGTTCAGTTCTAGTTCAGTTCTAGTTCAGTTCTAGTTCAGTTCTAGTTCAGTTCTAGTTCAGTTCTAGTTCAGTTCTAGTTCAGTTCTAGTTCAGTTCTAGTTCAGTTCTTGTTCAGTTTTAGTTCAGTTGCAGTTCAGTTCTAGTTCAGTTCTAGTTCAGTTCTAGTTCTAGTTCAGTTCTAGTTCAGTTCTAGTTCAGTTCTAGTTCAGTTCTAGTTCAGTTCTTGTTATGTTCTAGTTCAGTTCTAGTTAAGTTCTAGTTCAGTCCTAGTTCAATTCTAGTTCAATTCTAGTTCAGTTCTAGTTCAGTTTTAATTCAGTTCTAGTTCAGTTCTAGTTCAGTTCTAGTTCTAGTTCAGTTCTAGTTCAGTTCTAGTTCAAGTTCAGTTCTAGTTCAGTTCTAGTTCAGTTCTAGTTCAGTTCTAGTTCAATTCTAGTTCAATTCTAGTTCAGTTCTAGTTCAGTTCTAGTTCAGTTCTAGTTCAGTTCTAGTTCAGTTCTAGTTCTAGTTCAGTTCTAGTTCAGTTCTAGTTCAGTTCTAGTTCAGTTCTAGTTCAGTTCTAGTTCAGTTCTAGTTCAGTTCTAGTTCAGTTCTAGTTCAGTTCTAGTTCAGTTCTAGTTCAGTTCTAGTTCAGTTCTAGTTCAGTTCTAGTTCAGTTTTAATTCATTTCCAATTTAGAGGTCACTTCTATTTCTATTAAATTACAATTATAGATCAGTACCGTGTTAAAAATATATTTCCCTTCAAAAAACTTTATAAATGAAACCGGTAAATTTGACCTATAAAAGTACTTTAACAGCTGACACAAATCTAACAGTAATATATATTTTATAGATATTTAACTGTTACTGATCTAATAATCTTTAATTTTATCAGAATTTCATCTCGAATTATAATTATTAATAAAAACGAACGATAAGTTTATTAACCCTGAGCTGAAATAAGATTTGCTTTTGAAAAGCTTAATAATTTTTTAAGTAGTCGAAATGTCTAACGAACTCTATTAAGATATTGTTAAAAAAATTATTTTGGACAAATAATTAATTAATTTTTAAAACTCCAAATAGTAACACTGGGCAACAAATAAAAATATATATGACTATAGTCTGGATTATAGTTTGTTTAATTTAGTCTATAGTCTCTTTTGTAAGTCTGGTTTACAATCTAGTCTATAGTGTGGACTTTTGTTTAGTACATACATTATAATATGAAATAGTTTATAATATGAACTATAGTCTAATTTGTAGTCAGAACTGGTTTGTAGTCTGGACAATAGTCTATAGTGTGGGTTATAGTTAAGCCTTGCCTATAGTCTGAGCTATATAGTATAGTATATAGTCCAGGCTGTAGTTTAGTTTATATTCTGGACTATAGTCTAGTCTATAGTGTGGACTATAGTCTAGTCTATAATGTGGGCTATAGTTCAGTCTACAGTCTACTATACTGTCTGAACTATAGTCTAGTCAATATTTGGTCCATTCTCTAGTCTAGATTATACACCAGAATGAATCATCTGTTAGGATACTATTTTTCCCTGTAGCATCGTGTTAATATTGTCATTAATATTTAACAATCAAGTGTCACTTTTTTATACAAATAAAAAATGCATAAAATCAAAATAATTAATTTACATGCGATTATATTTAATACTTACTTGCGTACGTACAAATTTTCTTTGAGACAAAACTGTCACATAAATTAAACGAAGAAAACAAAAAAACAGAGATGTAATTAAATTGTAAATCTAGTGTCAAGGGGACAGCTAAATTAATTAATTTAGGACCACGATACCAGTTTTAAATGAGTAAACAGTAGGGTTCTATAGTTGAAACGAAAAGTCGACTTTTCGACTTTTTCATTTAGTTAAAAGTCGACTTTTCGACTTTTTGCATTTTATGAAAAGTCGATTTTTTGACTTTTCGACTTTTTTCATTTAAATAAAAGTCGATTTTTAGACTTTTCGACTATAAGTATTTTATAAATAGTCGACTTTTCGACTTTTTCCGACTTTTTTCGACATTTTTCGACTTTTACCGACTTTTTTCGACTTTTTCGACTTTTTGGCTATTTTCGACTTCTTTCTACTTTTTTCCGACTATTTTTTGACTTTTTTCAAGTTTTTCCGACTATTTTAGAGTTTTTGACTTTTTCCACTTTTTTAAAATTTTTGACTATTTTTGACTTGTTTCTACAATTTTCGATTTTTCGACTTTTTCCGACTTTTCGACTTTTTTCGACTTTTCGACTTTCTTCGACTTTTTTCGACTTTATTCGACTTTTTTCGGCTTATCGACTTTTTTCGACTTTTTTCGACTTATCGACTTTCAGACTTTTCGACTTTTTTCGACTTTTATTCACAAAGTCGACTTTTCGACTTTTTTCACAGACGATAGTCGAGTTATCGACTTTTTGGAACAAAATAGTCGACTTCGACTTTTCGACTTTTTCGACAAAAAGTCGATTGTTCGATTATTCGAAAGTCGATTTATAGAACCCTAGTAAACAGATTACAAAATGCCATTGTAAATGTAAGAGAATAGAAATTGTAACGAACTTAAAAGTGCCCTTTTAGAAGATTTTAGAAACTAAACTACTTTAACAAAATATTCAATTTGGAAGCAATTACTAATAAAGTAAAACTGATATTTTGAAATCGAGCTATCTGATAAAATTGAAAAATTAGAAATATACTTTCCACAGTCAGCTAAATGACTCATTCAAAAACGTGTCAAGATTGAGGTAACGTGTGAAATAAAAAATTTTCAAAATAATTTCAATATTTAAGTACATATGACTAAATTTAGCACATTTCATATATTTTACTTAATATATCCTCTAAAGGTTAAATATAAATAATTTTACAAAACGATTGAATTTTAACCGGTAACCGGTTTAAAATCATAAAAAATTATAAAAAAATGTTTTAAATTTTCAAAAACAAATACAACAAAAAAAAAACCGGGTTTAATTTTAAAATCAATTTGTATAAATAAGTGTAATAAAATTAAATTAAACTCAGTTTAAGTTAAAAATTTTAAAGTACAAACTTAAGAAAAGATTCTTAAAGAAAACAAAATGTTGAAATATGTAAGAAAATTTATAAAAAAAACAAAAAATTTTTAATAAAAAACTATATTTTTCAACAAGTTATTGCTGATCACGTTTATAGCCTGTGTTGCCGCAGTCGATGATGATGCCCATGCTCATGTCAATAAAGAATTCAAAAAGGAAGATGGTCATGGTCATTTCTCTTATGGCTATGATATCACTAACGGCATAGGAGCCGATGAGGCTGGCGATCAATCGGCTGTACATGGTGAATTTCATTTTACTACCAAAGAAGGTGTTCCCGTTAAGGTTAGCTATACAGCCGATGCTAATGGTTATCATCCTCAAGGAGATGTTATACCCACCGCACCACCCACACCGGCAGCCATTTTAAAGGCTTTAGATTATATAAACAGTCATCCCAAAGCTGAGAAAAATGAGGAGCATAAAAAACATCATTAACTTTCGTCGAGATATTTAAATTATTTTTTTTATTTGTTTTTATTTTTTTACAAAATTATTTTTTATTTTATTTTGGAATACATTTAAACAAATAACAGGCTCAAGATTTGTTTGTTTTTGTTTTTATAGACGATTGATTGATTTCCATATCCAAAGATTTGGCCACTAATATTTTCTTTAAATCATTGAATTTTCGGTGATTTTTATCGCGCAATAGATCATATATAACAGATTCAGTGGTAGTTATAAAACAACCGGCTGAACGTAATCGCTCTAAGGCCATATCACGATCCTGATGAAGTCGGGAGGTCACACAATCGGCCACCACAAATACATTTATATTTTGGGCTAATAAATCGATGGCAGTTTGTTCAATGCAGACGTGGGACTGAGAGAAATAGAGAAGATTAATAGTTGACTAAGAATTACAGTGTGCACTTTATTTAAGTCTATAAGTTGAACTGCAGTCTAGTCTTTAGTGTGCACTATAGTCTAATGAATAGTCTGGACTATAGTGTAGCCTATAGTCTGGACTATAGTGTAGTCTATAGTCTGGACTATAGTGTAGTCTATAGTCTGGACTATAGTGTAGTCTATAGTCTGGACTATAGTGTAGTCCATAGTCTGGACTATATTCTAGTCTATAGCCTGGACTATAGTCTGGACTATAATCTGGATACAGTCTGGATTATAGTCTAGTCTATAGTCTGGATTGTAGTCTAGTCTATTGTCTGGTCTATAGTCTAGTCTATATTCTGGACTATAGTCTAGTCTATAATCTGGACTATAGTCTAGTCTATAGTCTGGACTATAGTCTAGCCTATAGTCTGGACTATAGTCTAGTCTATAGTCTGGACTATAGTCTAGTATATATTCTGGACTATAGTCTAGTCTATAGTCTGGACTGTAGTCTAGTCTATAATGTGGACTTCAGTTTGGTCTATAGTCTGGACTTCAGTTTGGTCTATAGTCTGGCCTATAGTTTGGACTATAGTCTAGTCTACAGTCTGGACTATAGTCTATTCTATAGTCTGGGCTATAGTCTACTCTATATTCTGGACTATAGTCTAGTCTATAGTCTGGACTGCAGTCTAGTTTATAATCTGGACTTCAGTCTAGTCTATAGTCTGGACTATAGTCTAGTCTATAGTATGGACTATAGTTTAGTCTATAGTTTGGACTATAGTCTAGTCTATAGTGTGGACTATAGTCTACTCTATAGTCTGCCCTATAGTCTAGTCTATAGTCTGGTCTATAGTTAATCTATAGTCTAGCCTGTAGTCTGGACTATATTCTAGTCAATCGTTTGTACTATAGTCTAATCTGACTATAGTCTAGGCTATCGTTCGGACTATAGGTTAGTCTACAGTCTAGACTATAGACTAGTCCTATACCATGCTATAATATAGTCTGGTATATGGTGTGGACATCGTGCACTATGGTATATATATTTTATAGTCTTTACTATAGTATAGCTTTTAGATATAGTCTAGTTTTAGGCTGGGCTATAGTTTAGTGCTTGACAGGAATCTAGTGTTTAGATTCGACTATAGTCTATCCTATATTCTAGTCTAGAGTCTGGTATATAGTTTAGTATAAAATCTACGGCCTAATCTTAGATCTATTTAATAGTCTATTGTGTAATCTGTTCCAGAAATCCCACAATTTTCATTCCTTCTTCACTTACCTCCATCCCATATAAAATCACATCACTTGGTTTGCCTCCCTCAAATAGGTTTTTCATATCGCA